CGTATTTAATTGACATTAAACTTTTCTTTTTCTGGAGCACGAGACGGAGGGGGAGAGGGAGAAAATGGAGAACGTATTGCACCAGTGAGACGAGGAGGGACGAGGGACCGATGGGGATGGAGAGAGTTAGTTTTCTTTTTCACGGTTTTACGGTTTGATTTCTTTCTCGACCGCGGGGACCGAGAGACGAGGCGAGACGCTCGGTGACAGGGGAGAGCAAAGAGGGACACTTGGAGAGAAGAGGAGAAAATCTGTTACGGGGAGATCCACTGAAGAGAACTGGGTATGAGGAGTGAATATAGTGGGTGAGAAGACAATGTGCGCAGGATGATTATACTAAGGTGATAGACCAAATAATGAGATCATGATTCTGACAGGAGACTTTAATGAGGAGATCAATCTTTGGAGATAACTTTAAGGGGGGAAAGGAGGAAGGAGACGGAGATAGGACCGAGGAGAGGAGGAGAAAGAGGGGAGAGACACTTATGACGGAGTCGATGTGGGGGAGGAGACCGAGAGAGAAGATATGTGAGGACAGAGAAAAAACTACCCGAGACAGGACGAGAGGAGGGAGAAAAATGGGGAGGGGGTGGAGGGGAGTATATCAATCCATTCAGATAGACCGAGGAGTATTGCCTTAAGGAGAGCAGATGCTAGTTAGATTGTGAAACTACACAGGAGAAGATAACCCCACCGGGGGAGACTGGGTGTCTCACCCGGACAATCATTTTTTTATATCAGATATGGAGAGAGTGAGGAGAGAGAGAGTTGACGCATGGCAGAGGACAGGACGGGGAGAAGGAATGAGAATTCTCGGAGAGGAATTTAAAATCTCAATCGAAGGAGGATTAACTGGAGTAACACATTCCTTACGAGACTGCGAGAGAGCAGAGAAAGAATATTTTTGGGAGACGGCTTCACACTCTTGATTATGCTATTTGGAATGCCATCCCTTATTGGAGAGAGGGAGCGAGGAGAGGTCAAGAATCAATACTGCGTATCCGCCTCATATGATTCTTAAGCCCTTGAGTGGAAGACGAGGGACGGGAGTGATTTGAGGAGCGAGTTACGATATCAGGAGCTTTCCACCAAACCTATTGAGGAGGGATCGACTTAGAATAATTTTGGGAGTAAAACAGCCGAAATGAGACTGGAGACAAAACGGGAAGAGAGGTACAGGAGGTAGAGGAAATTATTTTTGTAGAGGGAGACTCGAACGAATCATGTAAGGAGGAGAAAAGTGACAGGAGGAGGAGAGGTAGAGGACGGTTGTGACGAGAGAGCCAGGAGATGTTCAGCAATGATCTGGAGACCTTAAGGAGAGGACCTGAGGACGGAGAGAGGATGAGTGAGGGGGGGGGGGAGCCATTTCTGGTGGGGAGTTTCTCCTCGTAATATGGCTGAGACACACAATACCAAGTGTTTTCCACCTATGACAAAAATATACAGGCTGGAAAGGAGAATAGAGAAGGAGAAGAGAGTAACAACTGGAGAGTATTGTTTATTTCAATCTAACAAGTTTGAGGGATTAGAGAGAATTAATGGGCACCCTAATTTTTATAATGGAGAGGGAAACAGTAACACAGAGGGATCGAATTGAGAGGACATCGAGAGCGCCGGAGGAGGGGAGGAGAGAAGAGTAGAGAATCTGGCCGGGGAGAGTGAGAGGCGGGAGGAGAACCAGACCATGAGAGGGGGAAGAGGGAGGGGGAGTATCCGGCGCTGAATGGAGACGAGAAGAGAGAGGGGAGACCTGAGAATATTATGAGAGGGAGGGAGAGAGACACGGGTGCACATCACCAACAGAGATGTCATGGGGGCTGTGAGGAGAGAGAGGAGAGCACGGAGAACAAAGTATGGCAGAGGGGAGGAGGAGGACGGAGACCTGGAGTAAGGATAACATACATTGTCATGGGGAAGGAGCGAAGGGTAGAGGGACGAGGAGGTACGAGTAGGAGTGAGACGGAGAAGAGGGAGTAGATAATTGATGTTAAATAAAGATGATGGTTTGGCCTTCGATAGAGAGGGAGGAAGGAGGGAGAGGCGAGAGTGAAGGGAGAGAGAGAACTGACTGGAGGGAGAGTTGGGGACATAACATATCTTATGAGATTTATAGCCTTACCCTCCCGACGAATCTTGAGAAGAGAGAGGAGGATGATCTTGCAACCTGTGAGTCCACTAGCGTGAAAGACGATCGAGAGCTGACGTGAAAATCCAGAGACGAAGTGGGAGTACCCAGAAGGTAGTTTTCGAGAGGGTCGTCATGAAGAGGGGGGGGGGGGGGGTAAATAAGATTAGTGCGAGTTTAGGGAGGGAATTACCTGTGAGGAGAGAGAGAACCCGGAGACACTACTGAGAGAATAGAACTATACGAGGAGGCTAATGTGAAGAGACCTTGAGAGAATAGGGGAGAGAGAAGGAAGACCTGAGTGGGTAGAGCGGACGTCGAGTCGCAGGGTTGCAGAGAACGGGAGGCCCATCGGAAGATGATAGCACGGGGAACACGAAGAGCTGAGGAAGTGACACGGGGTAGAGAGAGGGTGACGATGAGAGGACGACGAGAGGAAGAGGACGGTCCGAAGACGGGCAAAATGAGAAGGAGAGATGTGTGTGAGCGAGAAGAGAGAGACTGGCAGGACGGACAGAGAGCGAGATGGACGAGTATTGAGACAGGGGACTGAGAAAAAGAGGCATTGAAATATGAGAGAAAGCGAGAGCCGGGCGGAGAACGGTCTAGAGGAGAAGTGAGAGGGGGGGGGAGAGTGAGGCTCTAGAACCCTCCTCGAGACGATGACCAGGTGACAGCCGATTGACGAGGGAGGAGTAGAGGGCTACCGTGATGAGACAATTGTTGGGAGACGCTGCACGCGGGACAAGAAACGGCAGAGGAAATAGCAACCTTATGCGTGTGGAGACGAACAGGAGATAACAGATCGAAGAGAGAGGATACCGCCCTGAAGAGCTTGAAGATGACGGTCATAGAAGTCTTGGATTGGTGAGATGAGGAGAGGTTGGGAGGATTGGTCAATTTTGGAGATATGGATAACAACCCCCTGAACACACGGAGACAGCATGAGAATAATCTTGGAAGTCAGACTCCGTTATTAGATAATATTAAATCGGATTCCAAACTAATACAACGCGAGAGGGCGACGTGGACGAGGTGAGAGATGGGGAGACAGCGAGGTAGAACGAGGAAGATATGGACTGGAACCTGAGACAGGGGGGAAGTGGATTTTCTTTCTTTCGAGAGTTGAGCGTAGGAAGACGAAGGAGTAGGGGGAGAGACAGACGGGGAGGGTGAGTAATATGGCGGGGAGATAGGTATAGGGAGTATCAAATGAAATCTAAGGGTGTATAGGTCCTGAGACATGGGATTATTTTACATTATTAGGAATTGCTATGAGGGATGAGGTTAACTTATTTAGGATTACGTACCTGGTAGTTAGTCTTTGGGCTTACAGGTCAGTGAGGACGTGAGTCGGGAGGTGGAGAGAGTACATGAGGAGATCCGCTTAAATCTGTGAGAGGGCCATTTTTATGCTTGAAGAGTGATCGCTGGGTAGCCCAGAATGAGACGAGGTGAGAGGGGAGAGGGCGTGTCGGGAGGAGGGGGAGAGAGGGGAAGAGCAATAAATTATGTATTGTCGCGTAAAGGAGTGCTAAGGCAAGTGAGGCTAGAGAGACGTGAGGAGAGGAGGAGGAAAACTATATTTTCATTTAGGAGGATCTCGAGGAGAGAGGAGAGAGACTCAATATTAACATCATCCTACGGACATTTAGAGAGTGACGACGTATTACTCTGTTCAAGGGGACCTCATATAGTGGAGGGTGCGGTGGGATCAGAGAAAATCGTGAATCACTGAAAGAGGGAGAGACAACCCCCCTCCCCCGGAGGACGTTAAAATCCGAAGCTATATTTAGGTGGTGTGTGAGAGAGGGAGAGTTTTCAGAGGAGAGGTTGATCATTTGAAATGCTAGACTAGGGGGGGAGCGGGCAGCCGAGAGAGACGCATTCTACTGAGAGCAGATTAATGTGTATCTTGGATATACCAATGCCCTACCGTAAGGAGAGAAATTGGAGAGAGGACCTATTGAAACATTTCTTTTTTGCGCTTCTAAGAAAGAACGGGAGAAGACTAAGGGAGAGGGGTAGAGGGGAGAGCCCACAGTACAGTCGGAAAGAGGACAGAAGAAGGAGAGGAGAGGAGAATGGCGGAGAGAGTGATCGAGATAGAGGTAAACAGGAGGAGAGGAGAGCATATAATATGTAGGGTACGTTGAGGAAAAATCGTCGTACATGTGTAATCGGGGGGGAAGAGGGGGAGAGGCCTCCCTGAGACGAGAGAAGGAGGAGGAGACGATTAATACTGGAGACGTGAGACGGGGATGACAGACTACCTTATAGTCCACTTCCTTCACAGAGTAGAGAAGATATGCCTAATTTTATGCCATGAGATGCGAGCTGGAGGATGGAGAGTGAAAGAGTGATTATGTGGGAGAAAAATTAAGCATTTAATCTATCAACAATGTAATCCGGAGATCTGAAATTGAGGGAAGGTCTGAGAGGAGGAGCGGAGAGGGAACTGGAGGAGGGAGTGAGGGCAGGGTAAGACGAGGGCGGGTTGAGAGAGAGGGTGACGTGGAGGGAGACGCGGAGGACGGAGATGGGAGTTGGGAGACGGAGAGGAGAAGGTGAGGTGCCATGCACGGCCGGGGAGAAGAGAGGTTTTTAAGAGAGGTTAACTTCATTGCATTTGCAGTCCAGAGAGTAAAGCGTTGGGCAGAGGTCCACGAAGATGGCCAGTTATTTGGAAGAGAGATTATTTAGATTAAGCAGGAGTTAAAAAACTTTATGAGACACGAGGGAGGGGATCTCGACTATCCAATACATGGACACAATATGAGTACGCAGGGGCACGTACACTTGAGAGGGAGATCTTGGCATCGATGTGCCGTACTAGCGTTTAATTTGGGTTAAAGTAGAGAGGTGAGAATACCTCAGCTCGTGAGTAGACGGGGAGAAGTTTGAGGGAGACTTGCGGAGAGATGGGACGGGGTGGGAGGGGGAGAGGAGGTCGGTGAGGGAATAGCGAGACACGGAGATCGGAGGACTGAGGGAGAGAGAATGAGGACAGAAAGATAGTGTCACTTACGAGAGTATAGGTAGGAGGAACCAGAGTAGAGTTGGAGAGGGAAGGGGAGAATAAGAGATATATATTATATATGTTGATATCCAAATTTGTAGACGAGGTTGCCGGAGATTTAGGAGGGTTGTGAGAGAGGGGAGGGCGAGACGTACTCGTGAGTCTGGCAGGTCGGAGGATACTAGGAGGGGAGTGGGGGGGAAAAGGGGAGAGTGAGGGTGATGAGTGGAGAAGGACGGAGGGAGAGGTATTATATTAATATTGTTTTATGTGGACTGAGGGTGTATATGCTAGAGAATGACGAGAGAGGACACTTTGATAATAAAAGTCAGAGATCCGAGATTCCGTTTGAGAGAGTAGATGAAATGAGAGAGGGGTGCGAGGAGGGGACCCGAGCCCCCTATTTGCTGAGGAGAGGAGAAGTGAGCCGGGGAGGGAGGGAGAGTTCTGATGTAGGAATAGGAGAAAGCATGTGTCTAGTGGGTTTCTCTGAAGTAGAAGAATGGTGTAGTGGACACCGAGGGTGGAGAAGGGGAGGAGAGAGGAATCGCTGAGAGAGGTATCGTAGGAGAGGAAGGGTCTTGTCGAGGGGGGGAGTGAGGGCGGAGAGGGAATTGGGGGGGGATTAGTGGAGGACGGAGGGGAGAGAGAGGGGACCGGAGGGATTTAGTGGGGCCGTGAGGACAAAGTTAAAGGTGAGACGAGTTTTCTAATGTTCTGAGGAGAGCGAGAGGGCTGGAAGGAGCAATTGAGGTGCGGAGAGGAGAAGGAGGGAAGAGAATAAATGAGGAGAGGAGACTCGAAAGGGAAAGGAGGACAGGGATGAGACGTGGGCGGTGGAGGAAGGACCCGGGTTTTTTTTTGATTTCATACCGGATGGAAGACACGAGGGGGTTTACGATATGAGATGGGAGGATAGGAGAGAGGGGGAGAGGGTGAGAAGTAGTTTGTGGTGATAACCTGAGGAGAGTGGTTAGGAGATTTTTGACGGGTTGGCATCCTCACAGGAGGTAATCGAGAGACATGGGAAAGAACCACTAGATCTTTGACGAGAACTCGGTGATGACGAGAGCGAGTTCACGAGATCGATCGTCAGTATAAGGCGGAGGATAAAGATGAAAGGTAGCAGGGACGGAGACAGAGGGAGGCGGTAGAGTGGCAGAGGGCCTGATGAGGACGATGAGGGCTCCGATGAAAGGAGGATGATGAGAGGATCAAAGCTACTTTTCGGAAATAGCACTGGACTGGTGGTCGGCGGACTGCGGTGAGTGGACTGGGAGAGAAAGGTAGGCGTACTAGCATAAAATGTTGGAGAATCTGAAATATTACATGAGAATATTGAGAGGAGAGGAGAGGGAGGGTGGGGAGAGAGAGCTGGGCCGGAGTGAGAACTCGAGTGGGTTTGAGCGTGCTAGAGAACGGAGAAGACCGGAAAGTCAAAAACTTATTTAATTAAGACATACGTGGGGTGCGTGCCACCGAGAGAGCGGGGAGACAGAGGGATGATTTGAGGACTAAGTGAGAGGATTCGAGATGTGAGACTGGAGGTTGATAGGAAGGAAGGAGAAATGGAGGAGGGACTAGAAAACGAGGCAGCTGATAGATGCACATGGTAAAATTTTATAATGTCCTTATAAATTGGAGTGGAGAGATATGAGCGGGGAGGAAGACAATGGGCGTGGACGGGAAGCGAGAGAGATTGTTTCCGAGGAGACAGAGAGGAAGAGAGACGCTAATAGAGAATATGGTTCCTTAAATTATATCACCGAAGGGAGAGACAGTAGAGGGCGAGAGGCGTGGCGCATCGACACGCTATGTCATCAAAA